CTTTGTTCCGCGCACCGTCACTTCCAGCTTAATTTAAACTCGCGTCGCCTCCCCTTTCGCGGAATTTTTCCCCCCGCTGATTTTTGCAGAACGAACCCCCAAGGAGGGGAGAGAGAAACGCTCTCGAGTCCCTTGATAATGTTATATCCATTAGCGCGAACAGCGGTTCGAGAGAGGTCCCGGTAGAGTGTATGCAGGGGTCTCGAAGCGTTTAAGGAATTGATTGGAGTTTACTTAAGGCGGATTGATTTAAAGGCTTCCGACAGAAAGAAACGCGAGCTTTCTTTCCGCGAAGTCGAGCCGCGCCGAGCGATCTCGGGGTTCTAAGGATCGCGCTTTTTTAAACAAGAGCGAAGAACTTCCACGGAATTTAACCTTTCAACGTCTGTAAATTTCCTTTACTGCTATTTACTCTGCTCGACTCTTTTTGCGGAATTTCTTTTTTCACCAATTGTACAACCAGCGCGGGCTTTTTATTACCATGAAACGAAAGTTGGGAAATGTTTATTTTAACCTGTATTTTAAACGTGTACTTTAATTAATAAATTCTTGTAAAATTAATTTCCATCGAATCACAATTTATCGTCAGAGATGACGTCGAAACCACAACACGTTACTCGTAGTATTAATACATCCTTTTCTCCTTTCTTAAATGATTTTTTGCTTTAGTAAAAGTTAAAAGTTAGTTATTTTAGTCTGTGTCACTAAAATGCCTTTTAAATTACCATTCGTTAATCGTATAAGTGATTGTAGAGAAAAATTAGCAAAAATCTCCAGTATCAATACACCCTCGTTGCATCGCGTACGTTATAATAAACGTCCACCAGTAAGATCATAACAAGCCTCGAACCTCACGGTTGTTACACCTTTTCACATACGCTCCAGACTCGTTACGTCACTCTAGGCCTTGTACACATTGAGTTACAGTTAACTTGAAGTTTCGTGGAACTTGCCGTACCGAAACTTCCGCAAAACCGCCAAACGGACGTTTGCTATAGGTGGCCAAGTAGTAGGACGTTTCCTTCCCGACAAATGCAAGACGGTTGGAAGGTCGCGAAAGTGCGTCTGCTTTCCCTCTTCCCGTTTCTACTTCCGCGTCCTTTTTCCTCCCTCCCGCCGCTATTCTAACGGGTAAAAGTTTCGCAATTTCTTCACCGTAGAATATGTGAACTCGAAGAAAAGGAGACGTGCGAGACCGTGGACCGTGGTTTTTTATCGCGATCGAGGTTTTTCGGCAGAATTCAATTATTCCCCTTAATGCATCGTCTGTGTTTCGTTTTACCGCGGTGAACAACAGGCCTGTTCTATCGAGAAATAAAATTAAGTATGCCGAGAGTGTGCAAGGGGTAGAGGGAAAGGGAGGGAAATTGTTTGACTGGGATGGGCGGCAGGTACAAACACGAAGAAAAGCAGATTTCGAGCGGTGAAACTTTAACAATGATGTCATAACGCATCCCTTAACTCGATGACCCTCTCGACATCAATTCGCGTGCTCGACCGCAACGAAATTGCATCGCCGCGCCGTTGTAAAGTATGCAATTAACGCTTCGCGTGCAGGCGCGCATGAAAAATACATTTCTCGCGGCCTATCAGACGGCGGCCGCGTCGTTCTGCCGGATTAACGAAACAATCCCTAGTGAAATGGAACCGGCACGATAGCATAACCAGAGCATCGCGATTGACGATGAAAATTCACCTATTTTGTGCTAAAATTATGAATTCTTTCTTACACCCGTTTCTCTAATTTCGAAATGTCAAAAAAATCGGCTTTGTTTACATAAATTGAAAATACAGCATTTGAAAAATACTATTCTACAATATTACGGAGGAATTCGGAGAAATAACAAATTGATTCGTTCATTTTTAGCCAGAGATACATTACAGACAGTGCTAATATCAAAAATTAGATTGGATAAAATCTTTTTATCATAGCACAAGGATGCCTCTTTCTATCAAAACAAGAATTATTACGATATCTCTACTAGTTTAGTAAAAAAAAAATTGTTAAACCTCAAAGATTCCGACAATGCGACTGCAATTGCTTCCTTCAATCTCTGTTCACCTTTCGCAGCCGAGCGTCATTAAAGAAACGAATGAATTAATCGGCGAAAAGAAAGGAAGCGAGAGCGGGAAAAGCGGAAGAAGTGTGTAGAACGGCTAATCAACGGTGGCCCCGTGAAATAAATCACAGAGTTGGCCCAGTTAAACGGTATAATTCGCGCTTCACGACGTCCAAGGAATAATTAATCCTCTAATCGCGAAAGAGCGAGCCGCGGAACTTGGCCAGATCCTGCCGGGTCGGCCGTTTAAAAAGCAATCTCGGCGGCCAGGCACAGTACAGGAGCCCGTGAAAATTATTATGCGAGAGCCACGGCCACCGGATACGAGGCAACACGCCCGGAGGGGAGTATCTGCTCCAACGAATGAGGGTGAAGGTATAATTCTAAAATATGAGAGCTATTAACCGTACTTCCCTATGAGCATTGCCTTCTCTCATGTGTAAATAATGCAAGGCTATCTCTCTCTCCTAACCCCTCGCCAGTGTACCTGTGACCCTGTACATGTAATCTGCAAGACTGCACGCGCAGCTGTGAAACGAGAGTTTAAACGCATTCACGGTTTTCTGTTCCCGAAGCATCGAGGCCCGCAGAATCGGGGCGCGGCCTTCGGGTTCTTTGTAAACGTGCCGCCACAGAGGGAAACTTCTCTCCTCCCGGCTGGAGAAATTAATTTCGCTACCTAATCGCGGGGATAATTAGCCTTGAGAGTTGGAGGAGCTATCGGCAAAATTGGTGGAACTTACGAGACGGTTTTAGTAGGTCACTCCTCGCCCGCTACTTGTTGTGTCAGAACCAACCCCCTACGGTGTTCCTGGCCGCGCGCAACTTACTACGTAACCGGGACGGGGAGTATTTGGAAACCTTGCACCGTTAATCGAGTGAGTCGACACGCCGCACAAATTCCACGCGGCCGACTGTGCCACGCGAGAAATTAACGAGCATATACAGGTTGTTAATAAATTACCAAGTTTGCGGGACCACGGAGGGACATTCTCCGGTGGCTAGGTAGTACTTGGGGAAACGAGTCGTTAAAGGGACATTGTACGTTTTGTTCGCCGGGAACGATAAAGAAGTCTTTGTACGTTGGATTCGAAAGAAATGTGGCTCTGAGAGTCGCATCAAGTGCCCGTGTATTGTGCATGTTCTTACGAGGACCGAGGCAAAGTGCAATTATTCCTTATGAACCTTATTCTTCCTTTTCCTAGGAATTACTCGGGATTTTATACAAATTTCTCTCGTGAGAATTCACGAAGAGCTCTGTAGAACTCTCTGAGAAATCTCGGAGAGCTCTGTAGAACTCCCTGAAAATTCGCGAAGAGCTCTGTAGAATTCCCTGAGAATTCACGAAGAGTTTTGTAGAACTCTCTGAGAATTTACAAAGAGCTCTGTGGAACTCCTTGAGATTTCACGAAGAACACTGTAGAACTCCCTGAAAATTTCTCAGCAGCTCCCTACGACCTGTTGCGAAACCCTGAGAAGTCTCTGAGATTTTCCTCGAATTTCCAAGGAATTCTCTGCTACCTTTGACTAAGCAAGCGATTCTAAGCGTAAGAGAAGAATAGAAAAGTCGTATAAGCTCTGTTTGCATTACGAGGACGCGTGGAAAGAGACGAAACATCATAAACAGCTCTATCTCTGTGCGGTACTGGTCGAAATGCTCGAAACATGTATATTTTAGCTACACAAATAAGCAGAGTTCCTACTTGCGTGATAAAATAACAAACATTCGCGGTATATTAACATAGCGCCTCGTCAAAATTCTCTTCTTCCCATAGAGATACACAAACTCCATCGGTCTGACCGCTCGTCTACAACGAAAACCAAAGGCAGAAACCAAACATTTTACGACAGCCAAGCAGCAGCCGCACAGTAGGCGAATGTCGTGGTTCCGGATGAAAACGTGGATAACCGAGTGCATCGCGGCGGCAATAAAAGGACAATGCGTAGGGAAGTTCCAAAAGGCACGGGGGCTTGGTAGAGCATCGAAATTTACGCGCTGGCCCGCCACTCCGCCGCGCCGCGCTAAATTTCGTGCCTTTTAAGTCGAGCTTTAAACGACGGTTTAAAGGGTCCCCTTTCCCCATTTAGCGATAAATTTGAATTCGCAGGCCAGGATGGGTCGCCTCGGGTCGTCGGTTTATCTACGAACTGGACCACTACCGCCTGTCTTTGAACTTTCAGCGTTACAATAAACGCTGGACGCGTTACGAATATATACGCGAATTCGCGAATTATGGGCCGGGGATCTTTTGAAATTTAGCGTACAATTGTACGTGTTCACGGTAGCCAGGTTACCGCGCCGCCATGTCCACAGAGGACCAGTCGCAGTGCTAATTACTTTTACATTTAAATTAGCAGTTTTTGCCAGCGTTCCTCGCACATATTACTTTTTTACAGCGGCTCACTTCTGCGTAACACGTTTCTATCCTCGTGCTCTCGCCGGGAAACTTGCATACGTCGCACGGTAGTAAAATATGGCGGAAAGATTACGAGGGACTTTGCTTTACCTGTAATATTTGCGGAGAGTCCGTTTTAATATGTTCTCCCAACTTACGTTACGATACGTGTACTGTAATATGTTGCTCGACCGAAACCTTGGAAATTTGTCTAATTCTACCAAATTTTCTTTCTCTAACATGTTTTTTAAATGGAATAAAAAATTAACCGCTCTCGTCCTTTGGACACGTTAAAAAATAAAATCAACACCAGCTAATTATTCATGCGTGTTATCAAGAAAGCTGAAGATTTTACTGAGAAGCAATTGCAATAAACATTATTTTCTAGAATGGCAACTATTAATCTAACAAAAAATCTCAAGTTTCTTCCGATGTACCATAATTCCAAAGCTCTGTCTAGCAACGCACGCAAAAGTCACGTCTGTCCCTCGTAAATTTTCGTTCGACGAATTTCGCGATCAGACGTGAAGAAGATATGACTTACAGATGACGAGCAGAATCGACGGGTACTCCTCGCTGCCCTCGACTTTGCCGCTGAGGAACAGAATCCATTGACTCGGATCCACTCTGAGCCCGTACCTGCACAGCGTGGAACAAAAGAGAAAAGCATGTAAACACTTCGAAAGAAAGTAAAAAAAAAAATGAAGCAAAGAGGGGTTGGGTGGGTGGGGAAAAAAATATGATAGAGGCAGAGAGGAACAGAGTCTCGTTCGTTATTATCGTCCCCCTCTGTCGTCCCATTCTAGTTTCATCCTCCAAGTCACGTTAAGCGAGTGTCTACATCGCGACACGGGTCGAAGGGCAAAGGCGTCGTTATTAACGTCTGTCTTCGGCGCGCGATGCTCTTCACCCCCGAGGTCCTTGGAAAAAAGACGAAGCTTGAAACAGAGAGAGAGAAAAAAGGAAGGAAGGAAGGAAGGAAGAAACGAAGGGAGAAGAAGAGGGGAAGGAAAAGGCGAAATAAAAAGTCACAGGTCCCTCGATCCCTTTGTTCCTCCGGGTAAATAATAAACGTCGACCCTGTGTTCGCTTTTGAAATTTAAAAGAGGGTGATGGACACACATACACACACACAATGAGACAGAACACAGCAAACGATATCTCTTTTACTCTCTGTTCGTGAAAGATTTCATCTTTCGAAGCAATTTCGCGGCTAAATAATTCCACCCTTTTACGAAAGCTGATACGTCGATTCTTTACCGAAACCCTTCGAGAATCCTTCCTCGATCTGTCTGTTAAACATACGAGAGAAAAACGAGCAGTTGTTTCGTAGTACATCAACCACCATCCCACTCTCTCTCACTCGATCCACGACCAATTTTTATAGCTCTATATCGGTGAGATTTATCGCGCGCCATCGTATCAATCCGAGCCATCAGGAACGTTTGTTGCACACGACCGCCGGCGATCACGGAAGACAAACGAACTACATTCGTGGCTGACCAACGAAGAAACAGGGAGGTGGAGAGAGAGAGAGAGAGAGAGAAAAGGGTCGAGAGGGTAACCGACACTAATGGCTTCAGGTCGAACGCGTCCGCTAACAATGATAAACGAGGCTTATAGGTGAAGTAATTAAAGTATTTGAAGTGGGCGCGGTTCGACACAGCGGCTAGGATATTTATTGGGACGCGATCGTTTCGCCCTTTTTTTTTTCCTCTCTCCACCTCCCTCTACCCTCTGACCGCCAACTCTTTTGACCACACCCTGCCCCACCGTTCCCTTTTTTTTTTCCCTATCCGCACAAACGCAATCAGTCACGTTGACGCAGCGCAACGATAATTGAAGAGAGAGAGAGAGAGCCGGAAAAATCAAACGTTTATAATTGATAGCTACTGTGCGCACTCCACGCGTCCAGTATGGTCAGTCAAAAGTGATTTCGAAGGGGACTACCAATCCTCCTCACTCCTGTATTACTATCCAGTAAATCACCACCGCAACTATCACCGTAGCCCAGCGTAGGTGTATATCTTTGTGCAGTTTGATTCAATTGTTAAATACTTTGGGAGAGAGGGAGAGAAAAAAATCAATACACGTCACCGTCTATCCGGTATTGCCGATTGCCACGGTAATACGCGTTAATTCTTTTCTGCCGTATAAATGAAACATACAAAGCCGCAAAAGGCCTCGACACATCGGAAATCACTTTAACCGCGACAGAAAGAATTGGCGGATGAAATTGGAGCAACGTGAACCACTTGAAACCTCGCCCCGCGATATTCTGTTTGTTTCAGCCAATTCTGTTACATACACACTGTGCTGTGAATTTCTTAACTTTGATCCTAGTGCTTTGTTTTTTTATTCCTTTTTTTTTTTCTTTGGTATGAATACGGATTGGATTCGTTAATTTCCGATATTTTCGCTGGTTAGCGAAGTTGCGGCGAGTTATGAGATGTAATTTCAGATTGTGGAATAGTGAAGGAGGTGAAAAAAACGAAGATTGTCATTAAGGAAGCATTCCGATAGCATTACGAAAGCACCCATTTTCATCAATCCTTATTCACCCCGGTTCTGCTCTAACCATCGATTTCTTCCGTGCGTTACGAGAAACCCGGGCTTCTAATAGCAATTCCAATGTCGCTGCGGATAAACTGAACGATACTCATGCCTCGACATTTCATTCTTCCCGTCTTTCAACCTTATTTACCCAATTTTCGCGAAACAACTATTCTGTTTACGGTATTACGACATATCGGAATATGCAAAATACACAATCTCACCTCTCGTTTCACCGTGATACATTACCTTCGTAAATTTCCCATATTTCGATATATTATAATTGCACAAACATCCACGGTTCGGCGATAATTAAACACTCGCGCATCGTGAAAGCAAAATAATCGGCGATCGATAACAATACTCGCGAAAACACTCGTAATCGCGGTTATTAATAAACCGACGAATATTTCTTAACCGAGGAACGCTCGACGAGAAACAGCGATCTCGATATCTTCCCCGAACAAGCGCGACGCTAGTTTATCGAAAAACCAGAGAACGAACGATGCATACACACCGTCTACTATTTCATAAAATCCGCCCATCGACGATCCCATACATGTATATACACCTCCTTCCGTGAACCGAGATCAGCCCAAGAGCTTCTCCGGTATAGCTGTACACACAAAAATTCCAATCAGCTGCGGCGGCGTTTGAGACGCGCATTTCTCTCCTCGTGGCGAGAGGCTTTATTGGATCTATCAAAAAGTACGGTGACTGGTGGAGCTGTTTATTTCAGATAAGCCCGATAAAGCAGCCGAAAAACGGCGCGAGGACTCGGTTGGATATCGCAGCCATCGAAACTCATCGGGCCCCAAGGCGTGAGTGGGAACGATATTAAATTTCTTTCCCCTGAACGAGAGAATAGCCGTCCTGATCCGGGCACGCCCGTTAAATCCGCGCCCGTTCTTCGCTTGTCGAAGTTCGTTAATACAGCGTCACGATAAAATCCCCAATTCCACGTCGAGCGAGGAGAAGAACGTGGTGGATGGATAGAAAGAGAGAGGAAGGGAAAAATGTCGTACGAGAGGGAGAGAGAGAGATAAATATATATGTAGAGACAGAGAAAGAGTGAAAGAGTTACGGCGTCAATATGGAGGGTTCCGGTATAAAAACAGGACCGCGAATGGTCCTCGGTAAAATATTAATAAACGAGGACGTGGTAGGGGTGTGTGTCGAAGGCGGAGGTTTTATCTTGTTCCAGCAGCCTGGCTAGCAGCACGTTCGCGTTGTTACCTTTTATCGTTCGTCTAGAGAGAGTGTGACAAGGCTTGTACGTGCATACACCTCGCTGATTCGATAGTTTACACGATCGAGCTATAAATGAGAACGAAGGCGCAGTGACACACATTAGCGACGTTCGCCTCCTGTAAACGTCAAACCGACCGAGTGATATTTTTTTTCTCTATCAATGTCCCTCTATCCCTCTCTCTCCCTCTTCACTTCGAAACGTCGACTCTTGTCGAACGATGTGTTCCGTATAATCGAACGACCTTAAAAGCGCAGTCTCGTGAAAGAGGAGAAAGAGAGAGAGGTTGAACACAGCTTAGGAGAGAAAGATCAGTGACCTGTATATCGATGGTCGTCCATAGTGGTGACCATTTATTAATACGATTTAAAACCTGGTTTATGGGTGTAATCCGGTGACCTGAATTTTGTCCAGAGGCACACGATCATCTAATGGAATTTCAAGTTCATAGTGTAATTGGCACGATCCGATTACAAGTACAAAGGTTTATCGTGCAATCTGTCAGTTTAAATCACTTTCCGCGGGCATCGTTAATCGGATTAAAGTGCTGGCGGAATGTGCATGCAACTCGGCGTAAACATCCGACAGCGGTGTGTATCCTCAATTAGATTGAAAAGCATGTCCACGACATGGTCGGTAACGTAATCGACTTGTCAATGGAAACCTCATACGTACAACGGCCTGCATGCGAACAACACGCCACGGTTTCACCGTTTGATACCAGAGGAAGGAAGAGCAACGACGAAAAAAAACAAAAAAAAAACAAAAAAAAAAAAGAAGGAAGAAATACACGTGTATTTTCCGTAAACGTTGACCAAAACAACGAAACAATTTCTCGTGAAATTCCATTTGGACGGACGAAACAACGGGGGGAACAAACGCGATACAAAACCACCGACGCTGTTCCTTACAGCATGTATGAACGACTTTATTTTCCCTGGGTCAGTTTGCTCCAGCTTCTCTGTCACACAACTCATGCTCAACTTTCCCACAAACCCGACAAACACACAAATGTACATACACAGAGAGAGCAAGAGAGAGAGAGAGAGAGAGGGAAATGTGTCCATAAACCTGGATAAATCCTCTTAAAACAAACCTAAAACTACGGAACACTTTAGGCCAAACTCTAAAGTAAACTTATTTCTGTTGACTAACGCACTTTCAACGTTTCCGCCCCCTCCGCGGGGGTGAGAATGTTTCTTAAGCCGTATGTTGGAAATAAATCTCTCGCGACGCTTAAAACGAAGACAGTTCTGAAATCTCCAGGATAATGCGCATGATTGATTGACGAGAGATCGAGAGGAATATCGGATACAGAGAGATAGAGAGAGAATCGGAGAACTAAAGACACAACCGATAGAAGGGACACGATCCGGCAGAAACTATCGCGATTCCTGGAAAACGTTAATGCCATTTTTCGCGCTCGGTAATACCGGAGCAACGGTGCAGTTTCGAGGATTCTCCCTGACTATAGCTCGATGTAATCCGGATGAACGGTGGACGAGTTTTATTTCTCGGCATGACGTGAATCCTTGCGAAAATCGCGGGCAAAATAGAACGACGGGGGATGAACGTGACACAATGGATTCGGCTGTCTCTCCTCCGCGACGCGGCCGGACCCGATATCGAATCGTTGGGAAATTTTCAGTGCTGGACATTGTAATCGTTCCTAACGCGAATATGAAGCTTCAGAAAATAACAGGTGAAACAGGAGGGAGGGGGGGGTGAAACTTGATCGTGGAACTGATACTTTTTCGCATGTTGTTCAAGGGTATTTGCTGTCAGATGGAATGTAAATACGTTTCTCCTTTTTCATACGTTTTTCCCGCCGTTTCGCATCGCGTTTCAACCAACGCTACATTTTTCAACGATACGAGAAAGAGTTTGAAATTCGCGCTGGGGAAAAAATGGATTCACGTCTGCTTAAACACGTGTATTATCGCTAATGTGACGATACTCGCGACACAACACCTTCTCGAGTCAAACCAAATTTATATTTCACTCGTTATCCACTTCTGTTCACATTTCTCACACATCCTTTCGCAAATTTATCCGACGATCTTGTTAATTAGCGAAACTTCCGTACCTGTTTTCAACTTCGTCCCGGAATCTTAACGGACTCGCTCCGGCGGAATAAGTAAATAAATATTTTGCAACTGATTCTACTTATATTAAATTTACTTTGATCCTGCGATTTCCGGGACGAATGTCAAACACAAAAGAGACATCTTATTTCGTTTCACGAATCGCGTCCTCGTAAACCCGACCCATTAAAGATCGCACGAAGCTCCGAAGGTTTAAGTGCATAAATTATGAGCAGATCGTGAACCTTTCAAAAAGTTTCCCCCTGGAACGGCCGCTGCGAAAAAGGAGACAGAGAAGGAGGAGGAGGATGAGAAACTTCGATACCTCTGTCTCTCTGTCTCCAAACCTTTCCACGGACTTTTATCGATGGAACTAGAGTCCTTCGCCGAGAGTCCGATTAATTGAGCCCTCTTCCTACTTTTTTTCACTTCGCCGAGAGAGAGAGAGAGAGAGAACCCTCTCGTCCTTCCTACTTTTCTTACCGGCGTGTCTCTTTCAGACCCTCTCGCGCTATCTCCGCGTCGATTAATCTCGATCGTCGTGGAATCGCGTTGCCTGCTTCGTTCTATCCCCGTGATCCGCCCAAACGAACGCTTTTTCTTCTGTTCCACGGATTTCTCGCGAATTCAATTATCACGGAACAAGGTGGAATTAAGGATTCTGCAAAAAATGTTCGCTGGGAATATGCAAATGTTCGAATTGTACGGTGAAAAATGTATTGTTATACGTATATAATTCCATTGAAATTATATTCACTCTCTTCTGTACGGAACAAGTGGGTGGTTCTTTTTCTCTTTTTCTTTCCAGAAAGTTTCCTCGTGGGGGAATTTTCTTTTGTTGAGCCTAGTTTGTACAGTTATGTCGTGATCTAGAAAGGCATCTGCTTTTGAATCGAACAAACTGCTCCAAACTATTTCGACACTTCCCGAGTAAGTCACTCTCCCTCGAGAAACTTCTCCAGACTTCTAAATAGATGGTAATCTGTAGAAGAGGAGCGTGCAAGAGCTTCCTGGCCCAATTGTACCCTTTTTTAAGAATCTCCATTTCCAAACACAGTCTCTCTACCTTCACAACAATCCCTGTACTTACACCACTTAAATGCAGACAGACGCTTGAGAACAGGATATTTACGAAAGATGACAGGTTCAAGTAAATCTGTACGCAGATATCTCGCGAACGTGATCTTTGCTTACTCGGAGACTCGGGGAAAATAGTGAAAATTTTCTATAGTTAACATTCTGTGGTCAAGGATTCGCGGAAATTAGTGACCATAATGAGTAGAGTATAGCACTCAATGATGAATCTATCTTTCATTAATAACGCAAACACCATAAAAAGAAAATACTTCAAGTGTGAAAATGTTAACTCATTCTACTCGTGACATGCACATGTATCACCATCTGTTTCATATGCCAATTAAATCTTCCGAAAAGGCACGAAACCGTCGAGGAAGAGTACCGTCGTCGTTTCGAAATAATAGAACGAAAGTATCAAAGGGAAGACAGAAAGTTCCCCGGGTCTTGGTACGATCGGAGAATAATTTGTCCCACTGTTCAATCGTCCAACGAGACGATTCTCGTTGCTGGTCACGCGTGGAATCACTTCGCCTGTTCGTTCGAAAAGCCCTCCGAGAGTGGCGATCCTCTCTCCCCTCTTAGCCGCGTTTGTTTCAGAAACGCTTCGAGACTAGCGCGAGCAATTACGTCGCGAAAGTTTCTTTCCAAAGTTTTTCCACGCTTAACGAGCGTGATAAATTTCTGTTACGCGCTCCCAAGAGCCGGTGGACCCGGTCCCGGAGAGTTTACAACGACGATAAAAATCTCGTTGAAATTATTCATGGGCCGGTCTTGTACTTCGCCGTTTCTCCATTCAACGGGGAGAAAATTGGTCCAAGGGCGGAGAGGAGAGGGTGTAGTTGTGTCCCTTGCGCGGCGAAATCTTCCGTTCGAAGGAGATCAGGCTCGCGACACGCTGTTAATTTTAATCAGCTTTTCGCGGGAAAGGGTCCCCTCTTTCTGCACCGTCGTCCATAAATTAATTAATTTTTGGCTAACTCTCTATCTCTCTCTCTCTTCGCCTCTTTGCTTTCAAAGTGGAATAAAGTGGAATTTGGAAGACACACGTCGAGTCGCGTTTACGCGAAAATCGACGGGATAATTAAATTGAAATTCAAGCCAGGTCGATAAATAGATTTTGTCGACTTTAGAAACACATTAACCGCAATTGCTATTGACATATTAGCAAGCTTGAATTATACACGCGGATATAATTAACGCGCCAGTGCGTATATCTCTGACAATAACCTTTATAATCGGCACAAAGGTTTCATCGTGCGTCCGCTACAGCCATCGACGATGATGTAGTTATCGAAATAGATTAGACTGTCACGGTGACTTTGATTCCCGACGAGAATTGACGTCAATAGATCCAGCCAGGAATCCTACATTGAACACGGAGCGACAAGCAGATTCTCATTTTTCACTATCGATCCGATTGTTCTTTCTTTCTATTTGCTATCCCACAGGTACACTCGGAATATCGAGTTGAAAAAAAAATATCGCGAAAATCTTGTCCACGTGCGGATACATCGAACTTTACACCCGGTCGCGATTCGATAAACGATCGAGAAATTTCTTATCACCTGTGTTCAATTACTTAAGATTTAATTCAATCTTTCTCGTATCCCGATACGCTGCTTTCTCGAAGAACCCGTGACAGCTTGATGAAGTTGTCGTTTCCTCGGAACGTCTCTCCCCTATTACGGCATTATTCGAGGCTCAAGCGAAACCGTTCGCATTTAGGGGAGCTTTCCTGCGTGTTTTTCAACCTCCACCCCTTGACGAGTCGTATGATCGAGAGGTCTACGCTTCGATAACCCCTCTCGTTCGTACCACTCGAAAAAAAATCCTCCGGGGACACATCGAATTCTCAAAGCTTTGAGTATCCTCGCGGCAGATAGAGACATCAGTGTCACCGGATGACACTGCTTTTTCTGATAAATTACGTCAATGAGGCAGAGAAGTAGCCCAGGTAAAATTGCCACAGGCAATGAAAGGAGATTTTTTTCGCGCGAGAATCGATCGATATCTTTTTTTCGCTTGTTCCACGTCGTCGTGCAACAATAAATCACTTTCTCCACGTGGGTGTACAAGCATTCGGTATAGTACACAGAGAGAGGAGGTTAAGGCGTAGAGACTTTGAATCCGCGAGTGTTCGTCGAATCCGATCACGTATCGTCCGCGGCACGTTTGATAAGGGAGTGGTTTTATCAAGATTCCCGATAGATAGATAGATAGATAGGTATATATACTCACTTTATGAAATTTTCGAGGAGCAATCGGATTCCGCCGATGCCCAACAACAGGAAGCCCCAGTTGACGAATCCCGTGAAGTTGTCGAAGCCGGAGCTCCATGAGAACAGACTATCTTTAGGACGATGACATCTGTAAGGAGAAAAGATGGGTCCAAGTTAAAAGAAATTCTCGTTTCAGATCGATAGCATGCTCGTCGTCCGCGATATAAAGGAAGAAAAGGCGCCATAGAAATGTCACTGGAATAAGAATGGAACAATAAAGCCGCTTCCATACCGTACGGTTATATGCATTTCCATTTCAATTTACGAAGAAACACGCGATTTATGCAACGTATTGAAAACATTTGCCCGAGCTTTGCTTATTTCTTCTTCGTATCCTCTATCCCTTACTTCCACCATCACCTAACCTCCTCTATCTCTCTCTCTCTCTTACTTTGCCACAGAGACTTCCGTTTATCCTTTTTCCTATCTTTCTTTTTTTTTCTCTCCAACCACGGCGAAACACGAACGATCTATGACGAATGTATTCGAGTCGAAACGATGCCAGTAGAAACAGACAGGTGAGGTCAGACTGGAGGGTATCAGGGTGTATTATACGGGTACTTTTGCCTTCTCTACGTTTTCAACATTAGAGATTCCCTTTCACAAGACCACCGTGACAGAACGTACACAGGACTTGTACGGCTATTAAGTGGACAATGTTAACAATACACCATGATGCTACCTAGCCTCGTGAAATTTCAATGGCGTATACAAGATCGTGGCGAGTGGCGGATACAAAAGCCTCTCGTCGTCTTAGGTATCTCTCACGCAGATAATACACCGGGTGAACCTGAGTAATCGGCTTCCACGGACTATCGGTATCATCCCTTCGTGACTGCGAGGCACGACAAGAGCTGACAAGGACCATCGTGTAAACTTTTCAAAAGCGTTTTGTCCCGAAGCATAAAGCGTTCGAGTAGGAGAACCCTTGTTCCTTCTCCTCTACGGATAAGACGTGCTCGCCTGAGTGTGAGAATTTAGGGAGACGAAACAAAGCGGCGAGGTGTTCACACGAGCCTCGCTTAAAAGTGGGATAATACGTATATGTACGCTTGGTTAGAGAGAGAGAGAGAGTCGGACAACGTCTTAGATCGCTTGTTAGAAACGTTCGAGCGAATTTCCTGACAAACTGACATCGCTCTTTCGCGTTTAAACTTCAATCTTCTCGCTATCTCCATCACAGTCCAGTTACTTGCTTTTTACATTAGAACGTGATTAAGGTTGAAACTGGAAGGGCTTCTAAGCCGCCCATCGTGGGAAGCCACAAGTCTTAAGTATTTACAGGGAACGAAGGAAGATCCTGAAGAGAGAGAGAGGGAGAGAGTGCAACACGATCAGAGTGCGGAGGTTCAATCCTACGAACGTTAAGTCTTCGAAATCTCAAAGGAACAATACGACCGGTCGGTTGAAAGAAAAATAGAGAAAAATAAAGTAGCAGCGTGGAAGAAGTTGGCGGATAGAGTTGGTTTGGTAAATGTCGACGATAAAGCTAGCGAAAGATTAAAGACAGGTAAAGGAAGCCTTTCCTGAAATACCGCGTCGTTTGTCCCTCGTAATTACCTGACAGAAGTCCCTTATGTCCCGCAACTATGTGCATTTAATGTGATCGTTTAACCTGGCCAAGCTGTCTCGAGTAAATCCTAACTATTACTCGGAATTTATGGCAGATCGTGGTAATTAATAGAGCCGCGATAAAGCCAGCAGGGCCAGCCTGAGAGCCGGCACAGGAAGAGCTATCTCACACTTCTGATACTGGGCCGGCATGCATAGCAGGATGCAGACGTGTCACCGAGAACTTCCATATGCATGAGTGGTGCTGCTCTATGTGTACTGGGTGTCCGATGTGTCGCGACCAAACTCGTGGGCTGGAGCAATAAACGCGTAAACGATCTTTCCCCCGGTTCTGTACGGTTAAAAGGCTCTCATAGGGGGATTGTACACGCTCGTGGAGAACAGTCTTGAACGGTTTAACAGTTGTTCCGGTAATTTTCAATTCTGCCGGAATAATTGAAGAGTTGGAAACCACGTTTCAGGTACGGGAAAGTAAAATTTTCACGAGGAGCGGGAAACCGAGACTTAACTAACGCGCGATCATTATTCGGGAAGATTCTATGCATTCGTAGGAATAACAATTTTTTCTTCTCATTGCGGAGTGGTGAAAAATATTCGAAGATTTTGAGGAGAAGCGAAAAATAAAGGAAGCTACCGTGGGATAATTATATCTTCAGGATATAAATTCATTGGTACAAAATAATTTTCTTTTTCTCATCAAGTGCTAGGATCGTTCTAATATCGACAGCAATTAATTCCTCTCAGAGACGATTATTCGACAATCTTTTTTACACTCGGTCGTTCCGAAAGTTCTCCGTGAGGTCGAGAAATTTCGTCACAATTAAAGTAATCGCAGATTTCACGTTCGCGAAATTCCCCCTCGTGAGAGAATATTTTAGGGCGGAAAATCGTGATATCAGTTAGAGATGGCATATTTCAACGAAGCCGGAGGCGATCCACCCTGTGACCCGACAAGAAGGTACAAGTTACCGTCTACTTTTCAAAGTTCGGCTCGGTGGCATGCTGCTTTTGGACCAACACGGCTGTTTCTTGCTACCAGTGAAGGAACCAGTCGTCGAGCTTCTTCCGTCTAGACTCGCGGTACCCGTGGAAAAAGAGCTTTGTTCCCAAGGCGAGGAAGTTCGCGAGTTTTCAACGCGGCCATTCGACCGCGCGTGTCATAAGTCCCTCGATTATTGATGTCGTAAAGCAAGTTGGTCAACTTTTTGCTCCTTCGATAACAAGAGCCATCCTCTCTCCCTCCATAGTCTATGATAAAACGTCGAAGACACGATATAAATTTTTACGATTATATCATCCACGGAAGTAGTCGTATTCCGCCAAGTGACGTTATCTCCTCTATTCTCTTTGTATCGCGGTGTCCATTTTAGCCGGCTGTGAGAATCGAAGACGAATTGTACCCGCGGAATGGCGTCGTTAAAATTCATTCGTGTCCAATTCGAAACGCGTTTCACCGCTGAAAATTGCGTATTACCAGCACGCGAGACCAGACAATCACCATAGGCTACTTATTTCAACACCCGTGAAACATGTAAACAGCGAACGCGTAAAAACCCGGTGTAAACGCGGCGAACGTTATTGTGGCGGCTAATTTGAAAATATGGCAGATCGTTGTTTTGCGCGTTAGAGAAGTCGACGTGGGATAAAAAAAGGGGAAAAAGGAAAAATCATCCGCCGGTGCAAGCAACTCGTTGCATATATATATATACACCCGGTGTGAAAACAACGCGATGGAGAGAGAGAGGGAGAGGGAGAGGAAGGGTATAATCGGTGCATACCGGTCGCGCGAAACGAAATAAAGAACGGAAACGCGTTTTTGCATGGTGCACCGGCCGAAACGAAACGGCAGACGATGGTTTGGTATAATTATCCGAGCGTGCGACGCCCGGGTAATATGATTCGGTCTGGATATGGCTTTTCCCACCCCCTGATCCACATGGACCGTCCAAAAATTTCAGCCTCGTTACCGTTGGCTCTCTTGATTTTTCATTTCCCCCTCGTTCGACAACCGTGTGCCCCTTAGAATCACACGCCAGAATCGATATCCGATGGAAGTTCGAGCATTGATAAACCCCGTGAAGCCTGGTGAAACACTCTAACTTTTTCAAAAAATGAAAAAAATTCGTCACTTATGAACAGCGCGTATCGTTGGAAATTATCGATACTAATAACCTGCCGTGTCGTTTATCCCAAAGCTGGGCAAATTCGTAATTTCGTACGGTCTAATTCAGCCAAGCAAATTGAAACTAAGCCAAACAAATATTGAAAATTTGAACTCAACCGAAGCAATTAAACTCAGCAAAATTCAAATTCAGCCTACGTTAGATAAATGAATGATCCAAGGAAATCGCTATGAATCGAATTTGAAGTTGAACCAATGAAATTCGAAATATTGAAAATTTTAACTCAGTCAATGAAATTGAAACTTGGAAATTTGAACTCAGCCAACGCAATCAGCGAAATTTAAATTCACTCTACGTTAGACAAATAAATGGCAATATCTAATTGAATAAAGTTATATTTTTAAACAAAAATTCTGAATTTGCCTTCTTATTTGAGATCGGCAATGACTTAGTTGCCAACCCAATACAAAACCAAACCATTCGAGACTTTTTATTAAACAGATTACACAACGCCACAGTACACCACAAAGAGAGATTCGCTCCAACTAGCCACCTAATTTTTTCCAAGCACTTTGCCATCGGTCTAAGTGGCAAACTTTCGGTTGTATCCTCTCGCCTTGAAATATATTATTTGTAATACGCAACACCGTGCAACGCGATCCCGCAAAACACCGATCAGAGTAATTGTAGTTCCACACGTGTAATTAATATTCGACAGAGCGAGCAATGTTTTATTGCACGGTGAATTATACGCGCGATACGCACGCAAACGAAATTCATATTTGACGCACTATGAATTCGCTAAAGTCGATGTGACGGTCTGTGGCGGCAAAGGAGCGGCGTTATATCGGGGAAAAAGGGGGGTATATGCGTCACGATCCAAGTCACGCCTTATCCAGCCGGCTCGTAATCCGCCGAGCGATAAAGGACAGGGTCCAACGACCATTATCCAAACCGAACAAGTCCATGAAAAGTATATTACGCGCTGTCAACGTTCTCTTGCTCTATTGTACGAGAGATTGAAAGGACGCCAGAAGATCGTCCATGACGGTCGTAATACAACCTCGACACTAATAACCTGATAAGGAGCTTTTTTCCTGGCGGCAAATGATGATAATTATTTAAGCGTCGTTCGTACGAGAGATAACCAGACATAGATAGATACGAGGTTGGAATAAAATTGAAAAATTGGTACTTTTTATTTCGTGCATATTTTAACACCTCCTTCCCCTTTCCACCGATCAAGGAATATGAATCGTAAACGTTTCTCTCGTAAATTTTCTCGTGAGTAAAAATGTTTATTCTTTAATCTCTGTACAGAATAAACTCTTCTTCAGATCGATTAAATCTGTCGAAATCGCGACGAAATGAGAAAATCTCCAACTTTTTACTT